ATACAGTAGGTCATAAGTATAATGATGAAAAAACTCACAGCTATGCAGAAGAAAAACTATCATACAAACATTATAATTGACTGCTCAATTAATAAAACTCATAGCTATGCAGAAGAAAATCTATTGTACAAAAATTATAATTGAATGCTCAATTAATAATACTTACAGCTATGCAGAAGAAAAACTATCAAAAAAATTATAATTGAATGCTCAATTAATAATACTCTTTATTTTTAAAATATTCAAATAATAATACTTGTAGCCGCCATTTTCCCTTTTTCTGAAACTTGTAGCTATAGAATTAGCCTACTCGACGCAGTTGATTTCACTAGCGTCATTAGCATTCATTGTTAGCCCTTGATTACGGATGCCTGCACTACCAGGGGAACCAAGCTATTCGGTTCGTTCAATTTATCGTTTGTTTTCGTGAATTATTGATTATCCTGCTGAATTATTGCTTTATCTTGGTTCATATATTTCATGTAATTAGCGTATATTTTGTCTTGTATATATATCTTATGTATATTTGTCATTTCCTTTCTAGAAACCGTACATCATGGAATACTCGTTTTTTACCCTGCCATGATGGCGCGTCTATGAATAGTTCGCTAAACGTTCCCAAAGGACTAGCCAACAAGAAAGTCCTTAACAATACTCTTTATTTTTAAAATATTCAATTAATAATACTCTATTTTTAAAATATTCAATTAATAATAGGTACTCTTTATTTTTAAAATATTCAAATAATAATACTCTTTATTTTTAAAATATTCAATTAATAATACCGGTACTCTTTATTTTTAAAATATTCATTTAATAATACTCTTTATTTTTAAAATTAATAATACAGCACACACGACACCCACCCTGTTGTGGGGGCGGCCGTAGAGATGATTAATAATACTCTTTATGTTTAAAATATTCAATTGATAATACTCTTTATTTTTAAAATTATTAATACTGCACACATGACACCCACCCTGTTGTGCGGGCGGCCGGAGAGATGATTAATAATACTCTTTTATTTTTTTAAATATTCAATTAATAACACTATTTATTTTTAAAATTAATAATACAGCACACATAACACCCACCCTGTTGTGGGGGCGGCCGTAGAGATGATTAATAATACTTTTTATTTTTCAAATATTCATTTAATAATACTATTTATTTTTAAGCTCCTCTGGAGCATCGTCCTGGCAACCAAATGCTGCTTCATATGTTGCATTAGACACATGAAACCTCCACTAACTCGTACAAGGTCATTAACATTCTTAAATGGGCTTAGATATTATCAGCTAAATACATAATAATATTTTGAACTAGAACAACCACCATTTAAATTAGACTTGATAAGTCAAACCATATTAATAACAAACTAGTGTTCATGTCTGATTGCCTATTAGAAGCATTGTTTGTGGAAATATGAAGTTATTTATGGCCATAGTTGCAACCAATGGCTTTTTTCAATAAATGTTCATGTCTGGTCATGAATACAAAATATAATTTGGAAGAAGAAGAATAAGAGATTAAGTGCTGCAGCAAAACACAGACATGTGTGAACATTTTACATTCAACCAGCAAACAAAGGGAACCAACCACCGCACATCCCTCCATATTCAACAAACCAACACATATCATCAAACACACTTCACATGAAAACACTTCATAATATATACTAAGAATTATATTAGAATAACATGACATGACTCACCAGCACATTTTTCTCCACATATCATCAACAAATCCCTCACAACAACTACATCCAACTTTTTCATACCCACCCGTCCCTTATCCTCAGATAAATACATAAAATCACATAAAAAATCAATATTCATTAGGCCATCAATAAATTCACATACATAAAATCTATATCACTCATCAATCATGCCTGCAGGACTCAAGAAAGCAACGCCACATATTGAACATTATTTGGCTAATAACTCTTAACTTTACACTTGAGAGTCAATCAACACAACTCAATTAATGCTTTGTAATTACTAAATGTAATCTAACCTAATATCAAACAGCCCTCATAAATGATAAGTTCATTCTGCAATCATGTTATTTCAAGTCAAACACAACTCCAGCAATATGAAAGAAATAAATCACTTTTGAATAATTTAGAAACTTGACTAATCTCTGTATATATATATATATACCTCAACCTGTAGTAGAGATTTCCTAAAAATTCCAAAAAATCAAAATAATGAAAACCAAATAGGAAATCAACAACCGGCACCAATTTCAGTTCAGTTATTGCTGCTGGACTGTTGAAAAAACCCCACAAAAATTAATTTTTTCCCCATATCTCCTGAATTAAATGTGTAATAAAGAAAACAATCTCAATGGACCCTTATCACTTTTTTATGTTAAAAAATTTTTTTTAGCAAAATTTTCTCTTTCCATTATTGCTTGGCGACCAACCATGAAAATTGGGTAAAACAACAACAGTAAGAAAGAGGTCAAAATTCTCAACATTCTGTCAAAATATGGAAGACCATTCGCTCAATGCTACAAAAATTTTCAAAAATTCTCTTTTTTTACTGAGATTTTTTTTAAGTGGATCAGTACACAAGATTTTCAGAGCCTGCTGCACAAGGGGAGAAAAAAATAGACCAAATTTGGGACGCTTTTGAGCGGCAGTTGATTCATAGGTTAGGTATATTTTAAAATCACACTTCTTGAGAATTTGTTGTTTCCCTATGGGAAATTTTGGAAAACAAGACTCATGTTTTGTCAATCTAAAATCAGATCCTATAATGGGGCAAAATTTCAGCTCTGCGCAAATGCTGGAACATAGAGAATGGCATCAAGTGATAAATTTTTGTGCACAAGTGCTTAAGTTAAATGACCTCTGTGTTATTTAACTTTATAACTTTGTCATTTAGCTTTAACTTTATAGTGTTAAGTTTTCTCTTCAACAAATAAATGATTGTGTTCAAATGCATGCAACAAGAAATAGAATTTAGAGAATCCTCTTCAATCAGACAGTCCATTGCAATTGAGGTAAAATAATAATAAGAAATAAAACTTGTGCATTAAATACCCTAGACAAGCACATTGATGAAAACTATATAAATGGATTATTATGTCAATAACATTTCACATGAACATCTCACCTCTGGCCCATCAGTGCAGTCAGAAGAGTCCTCAGGGTTTCTCCCACTCAAGGCTCCTAAAATGTGAGAACTTCATTCAAACATTGGGGGAAAATTAGTTGCTTCTATTGATAGCATGAATGCGTTCAAGAACAGACTAGATAAAGCTATAGAAAAATATATGTTCAGATTTGAAATGCCTAGCACCATATCGAACCCGGTGGAAGTCTAGTAGCTACTTGAAACTGTCGTCAGTCATGAAAAGATCCGGTCAAATGAAAGATATTAGATCTTCTGTGAACAAGGCACGAAAAGGAAAAGAATCGGCGACAGGCCACTTCAGGCCTACGCTTCAGCGCCGAGATCAATATGTTATGAAAAATATATGTTCAGATTTGAAATGCCTAGCACCATATCGAACCCCGTGGAAGTCTAGTAGCTACTTGAAACTATCTTCAGTCATGAAAAGATCCGGTCAAATGACACGATATTAGATCTTCTGTGAACAAGGCACGAAAAGGAAAAGAATCGGCAACAGGCCACATCAGGCCTACGCTTCAGGGCTGACATCACTATGTTATGTTATGTTATGTCACTATGAATCAGCCAGGGGTGAAGCTTCATGAGCTTCTTGGCAGTCAATAATATTGCATAGACAAATTATATGAAATTGTGAGAGAAATAAAATTATTTAAGGTTCAAAATACATTTAATAAATGAAAATTTGCCCCCTTCTGTTGTAATAATGTGAATAAAAAATGTAATAATGTAAATAATTCCTCCAGAAATCACATAATGAAATTTTCTCCATATTTAATAAAAGGAAATAAATTATAGTTCTATACTCATTTGATGATCAAAGCCAAGTTAAATTAAGCAATTTTAGTTTAAATTAATATCCTTCCTTAGGCTATTTTGAAACCTAAAAAATACTTTATTCAACTGAATAAAAACATTCCATATAAGTTGAGTGAAACAATTGATATGTGTTCCTCTTACCATAGAATTTCTATACATACTAATGACATGATTAAACACTCAGTTCACGTACAAGGGTTTTTACCAAAACTGTTACTGAAGCTGCAAGCTTTCAAACAATGCACACAAACCAAATAGTAAATCAATCAAAAACTAATTTTTCAAATATTTACACGAAAGTTAATATCTTCATGCATGGGATTTCATCATAGTTCCAAATCTATTGCTGTTACATAAGATAATGAAATAAATGTTTTGTTTGGAGTTGGAACCTTCATACTCAGCCATATTAGTAAACCTGAACCTAAATTGTTGATAATATAATTGCTTCACTAGAAAAAGTAAAACTTATGTAACTTGTGGGGAATCAAAAAGATTTCAATGAGAAAACAGTATTAATCAAGAGTACATTAATCAAATCACTCACAAACCAAAGATGCAGCAGCTCAAAAATCAAATAAAATCATAACTCACGCTTCAGTCGTTTTTTTCGCATGATGAGCTGAAAATCATGGCTTTGCCTGTACGCTTGGAGTTCATTGCGGTATCTGTTCTTCTCTTGCTCACAGCGCCTCTCGTATACATCTCGTTGAGGCTGAGCTAGACAGTTCCATTCAGCTGCTACAAGTTTGGTAATCTGAAGCATAAATTAAAAATACTTACAGCACATTGAATTAATGTTGTTGGAGTAAAATTGAGCTAATCAAACTCAACAGTATATATAAAAGTAAATTAAAGTGGCACTGCATTTAAATACATGATCTATGCTGAAAATTCTCAATGTCTATGTTGTTATAATTATAGCAAGAACTCAACCAGAGTAGTCAAAATGCACCTCTCCAAAGCTGTATTTGCGGGGATCATAAAACTTGCGTCTATCAGCCAGAAAAAGGACATAGGCAGTTTGAGGAGCTTTAGGAGGTTTAGCGCCAGGAATTTCTGGTTTCCTTTTCCTTCCTTTAGGCCATCCTCCACGTCTCTTTACTGGCAGGCACTGCAGCAAAGAAAAAATATAAGGAAACTTCAACAATATCACAAATGGTTTCTAGTAAAATCAGTGATGTCATCAAGCTATAATTTGAGCTTGATGACGTCAAGCTCATAAATTTTGACAGTGATTCAAGATTTCTCCAAGTATGGATAAATTTTGCCAAAAAATATAGAAATTATCCACAGGTTATTTCAATTTTCCATAAAAATTTTTTGGCCATTTTGTGCAGTACCAGTACTACATTGTCATCAACATATTAATTTGACTCGTATGTCTGTATCTTGTTGCAGGCATGTACCAATCTCATGAACCTAATTTGAAATTTGACATGATTCAGCAGGCCTTTCTAAAACTCTGAATCCTACAGTGGTTGTGTGCTAAAACTGAACAGATTGGTTGTGTGGCACACAGAGTTATGCCATTCAACAACTGAGAAAAAATATCCAAGCTTCAATCCTTGCCTTATTTGAGTAAGAATCCTATTAATATAGTTCATTCTTTTAAATATAATAAACAAAATCTAGTTACAACCTCAATTGCATGGATCACACATGTAATCCATGCAACCACTCTAGAATGACACGTTGAGTGCGATGGTCATAACTGCAAGCTGCCTGCTGGTGCAATAATGTCAAATTTCAATTGAACTTACAATTTAAACAAATACATATAATTTTCCTGGTATTCATATAAAAGAGTTGAACATATTTTCTATTGTTTCAAACCCATTGTTGTATGAATTCTGGTTCTTATTTATTGTAGTATCATTTATTACTGAATGAAATTCCTGACAAATTTATTAATTGTTCTGTGTTATGCTTGTGTTTGCATTAATTAAATAATTATCATTCTTCCAAAACAAGCACTATCAGAATGAATTCTCACTCTAATTCAATAAGGTTGTTTAACCCCCTGAGGAACCAATTACAATGTAATAATTCAATTTCAATCAAGTCCACGACTAATATGTTCCAAAGATATTTAGAATTGAACAAAGTTCTACTCTGCAATAATGCTTGGGAAGTAAAGCTCTTTCAGCCATTTAATTCTGATCCACACATTTTATCCTCCACCATAGCATTAATTGTTTGATTACTCCCCCATATTTTATAATACAACTTAATACCATTTATATGAATTTACCTAGCAAGAGGCAATGGATATATTGGCAAAGCAATTAATAACTTCATCTATCTCATTGTACCAATTTGCATTAAAAATTGTGTTTTCAATAATCTTCTACTGTAATCCATTCCTCTGCATTTGTTTGTATCATTAAATCACCAATGATTTATGCCCTTATTTATTGCATATCCCTCAGCTCATCATGGTTGTTTCAAGTTTTTGTCGCAGCTGTCTCCTGTCTCCTCTTAAAAAACTTGCAGCCACATTCCACCCCCTTTTTAGCACATTTTTTCATTTATGGAAAAAATGCACTATTGTGCTCGCCATGTCCGTCTGTCTGTCCATCTGTCCATCCGTCCGTGACCTCAAGTTTTTGTCGACAAGAAAATGCGCTCTCTGTCACTCACTGCAGTGAGTACTGAGTTAAATTTTTTCCTCAAAGGGCTCATAGGTCACATTAACAACCAACTCACATTGGTCCGCCATGACATTCCATATTCTGCAGGACATTAGCTTTTTCTTAAATAGCAACACATTCATAGAGGCAACAGCTTCACTACCATGTATTTTTAACCTCTACATCTTCCCAGCCTTCTCTTGCCTTCCTAGATATTTTCCAGACTCAATAAACATCTTTGCCATTCATGGCACTGCCTCGTGATGGACTACACAACTTGACACTTGCCACAAATTCTGTTTTTCTTTCATAAAAGATTATAGAACAGTGGAATGAGGTGTCATCATAGACAATTTTCCCTCTCTCTCCGTATTATCTCTCCCTTTGGAATCCTCACTCAATTATGACTCACTATCCCACCCTGCACCATTCTAATAGATCTTTAATAAGCACACATTTCCTCCTATACTCAGCTTGGGTTATACATATCAAACCAGAACTCTAACCACCTTCCCATTACGATCCACTGGCCGCCCTCACACACTGTGCTAGATCCTTGGTCAGCTTGCATGATTGGTAACTTTATAAGAGCCAACTGCCTGGCGGCTATGGCCTTAGTTGACACCATCTTTTCCTACACCCTGTTAGGGGGTTAGGCAACTCTTATTTTTCCTCCACTCTGTTAGGGGGTTAGGCAACTCTTATTCTTCCCTCTACTCTGTTAGGGGG